TGCGGACGCAACTCTGTAGTCGTACGTGCCATATCTTCCACGCGTATTTTCGAGGGTACGCGTCATTTATCTGGACGCCAACAACGCCATCGTATCATCCTATGCGACACCCTTGCACCGTTGTTGTTGTCGTCACGGTAATTTTTTTCCCCGACGGGAGTGAGACAAGTTTCGTTTTTCACCTGTACGATGTGCTGACTCCCACTGTGGGCGCTGAGAGCGTGCAGCGGAACGATGGCAAGCTTGCAGAAACTGTCTCGCGTAAAAATTGGAGGGCTGTTTGTTGTGCAAGCAGGGGGAGATGGTTGTGGTTCTCTCCTCCTTCTAGTTTTTGGTGACTGTTATGTCGTTATGTGTGTGTGTTTCCTGTGTGGATGCCCTTTTGCAGTGCGTGCAGTGTGCGAGTTGTGCCTGCCGCGGGAGGTCGCATCATTACCGCGCACACAACGGCGACGCTGCGACGATGTGTGTGTGTATTTTTGCTGCACCTCTTTCTATTTCCTTTTTGCCTTTCTGTTCTCCGCTCTGTGCGCTGATCTGCTCACCGACTACAGCCACGCAACTCTACTGCTGTTGCTGCTCGCACGTGGACGCGAAGAAAACGATGATGATTTTGTGGCGCGTGTGGAGACGGAGTTGTTGTGTGGAAGCAAAGATCCCAGTGTGCACTGGCGCCCAGTCGGCGAGAGCAGCTGGACTGCGTGTCGTACTGATAAGAAGCCAGACAGTCGAGATCTAACGGAAGAGGAGGCTTTCAATGCGATATTCTGCGATTTTGCGGCGAGGAGCTGCTCGGATTACGATGGCACGAATAATTCCGTAGGAACGGAGGAATATATGAATCCTGACCTCACGACGCCCAACACCACCGATGCGTACAGCGATGGGACAGCATCCATGGTCCTCGAGCACCCGACTCCGCCGCCAAGGAGCCGACAAACAGCAGTGCGTGCAGCAGCGCCACACAGAGCACATCTCCCTTAAAAAAAGAGGATCTAAGCGAGCAGAGGAATCTTGTTCGAAAGTGACATGTCTTTGCCGACGGTGAGCAGCGGCAAAATTATCTTCTTGTGGGTGAAGAAACCACTGCTGCTTCTGCTTTTGGGTCTATGTGGAGTTGTGGCAGACTTCTGAGCCACGGAGTGAGGATTTGCGACTTCTCACACAGAATATGTGCCGCGTTCCCCGCGGCTGTTTTTTTTATGTTCTTTTTAATGTTGTTTGTTTGGGATAATAATTATCCTTTGCTTATTTAATGGTCGGGTGCCGTACATTGTCATGAGTGACGTGTTTCTCCTCCTTGTTTTTTGTTTCCACACGCTGTACCGGCCTTTCTGCTGTGCGTCCCACGGACTGCACAAAAAAATGAGGATTGGAGGAACAGGCCGGATACCGTAATGAAATGTGAGGGATGTTGCGTGGCCTGGTGGAACAGTAATATTTTTTTCTCATGCAGGCAGTATTTATACAAAAACACCGACCTGCTGAGCTGCATGGACGGAGCACCGTAACTGTTTCTGTTTTGTTTTTATTGCATTGAGTGTGCGACCTCTCTCTCTCTCCCTCCTTGTGTGTGTGTTTTGCTTTACGGGAGCAATGAGAATGTGTGCGCTGGTCGTCCCACGCTTCGGCATTTTTTCTTTTTGTTTTTCTGTTTTGAATCTTTGCTTCTGTTGTGGTTGGGTGCACGCATTTTAATTTCATTGATTGGTTTTCTTCCTAAAGTGCGGATGGCTGAATTTTCCCTTTTGTATTCTCCTGTTCTTTGTTTCTCCAACGCAATCGGTCCTTGCTGCTTCAGCGAGCCACGAAATATTTGCCTAACACCCACATCAATGGCTTACTTGCTCTACACCCCACATTAGTTTGAGACGTTGGTGCTGCTGCATGTGATGATGTTTATGGTGTGATTGCCAGCGGGTGCTTTGCTGTCACTTTGACGTACCCTCGATTTGTTGAATATGTTATGCGTGCCGACAGCACAAATTGGATCCGCGTTTTTTGTGAGGGACGCACCCTTTTTGAGCGGTGAGTGCGCTGCAGCCATACACCGTCATTGGGAGGGATGGATGCCCATCCGCATCAACGTATCCACAAGGGACCTGGATGATACCGGGAAGCATTGGATCTCAGAGAAGTACTACGCAATGAATTCATTGAATGACAATTGCGAGTGTGAAAGTGACGTTGTATCCTCTGCGCACGGGATCATTCTCGAGAATGAAGTTATCCCTGCTGCTTTCAAACTGCATGCGGATCGTCTGCTCGTGCAGCCACTGGAGGTTCCTTTGATTGTGCCCCCATTTGCCACAGGCAGCGTTTGCATTCGGTTTACGGTGCGTGCTGGGCATTGTTCCACTGGCGTTGCCAATGCTGACATGGTGCTGTACGTGGCAGAGCGCTGTTGGTGGTGGTGCACTCGACGACTGCCGCGATGTCTGCGAGGGAGCCCCGCGACTGCGACGACATTGATGGCATGGAGCTGCAGGAGGGCGATGGGGACGGGAGGACGCTGGAGTCGCACTGGTCGCAGCGCCACGCGAGGGATGAGCGGATGGCACCGATTGTGGGTGCCGGCTGCTGCAGAGGAAGCGCTCCGCACCGAACATGAGTGAATATTGCTACATGCTCTGCGACGTGGGTGTCCCTGTCAAACGCTGCGCGTCGGACCGTTATTCCAGTGGTTGGTATTTGGGGAGTATCCATGAAATGTCAGCCTAACGCCCGATGAGCCGTTGCCCCATCACTGATCCCGCACTGGATGTGAGGGATGTTGAGGCTGTTACCTTGGAGGGGAGAATATTTGTCCGCAATGTCTGGTGATAAACCCTCTTCGTGGTGACTGGACACGCTTTCCAACAACACGACGGATGCGAGGGACCCAGAGGAAAAATACATCTCGGTGCTGTCATGCATGCGGCATTGCGGTGCCTCAGCATGTAAGTGCATCCGGAAGTGACTGAAAAGGGTAACGTCCGTTGGTCCCATGCACGGCCGAGGCGACGATTGCGTGGACCGCTCCGCCCTACGACGAGGGAAACGCTATTTTCCGTGACCACGCGCAGGTGTGCACGATATCCGCCACCAGCGGCAGGCTGCTTCCAGTGGTTCCGTGGGACGGCGATGTGAGAGGGTGTGTGGAGCAGGACGGTTTCACTGGTATCTACCGAACAAGACTTCCCAGGGGCATCCGTCCCCGATCCAGAGAGCATTAGGACCGGCCGTGGCACACCACCGAAGGATGTTGTCACGGCTGCTCCCCAGAAGCATACGTCGCCATAGAAGGAAGTCGCCTCAGGTGCCACGACGGCAACGGAGTGCTCTTGCCCAGCGACACCGCGGGTGCGCCGCGGGAGGCGGAGAGGGAAAGCGATCTTCCGGACACCGACGATGTGGCCGCCGATGGTGTGACGTCTGTTGTGGGACAATCATTAGGAGGTAAGGCCGTCAGCGACAAGGCCGGTGGCGGTGCCACAGCCACGGGACCCAGGAGCCCTGATGCCGCTGATGACGCGCAGGGCGCCGTGGACCCTCCGCCGAAGGAGGATGCAGCGGTGGTGCGCGGGGGTTGGGAGGCAGACATGAAGGACGCCCCGCCTCCGATCCACGGCAATAACGCTGCGGCTGCTGCTTGTCCCTTTCCGCTTCTTCTGCTTGCCGCTGCCGCCGCGGTGCCAACACTCAGCAGTGGATGCAAGAGAGAAAGGCCTATATCAACTGGCATGTTCCTATCAGTACATACATACACTCTGCTTGTCTGTATACTTTGTACCAGGGACATGCTGTATGCACTCTCCCTCTTTTGTCGGTCGCTGATGTGGCGGCACCACGCGTGTATTATGGGTTGGGATAAGAAATTGTTTGACTTTTTCTGGAGAATGCTTTGGGTGTGCGTGTGCGTGTACGAGGGATCTGTGTAGTTTTGATTTCCCCATTTTTATTTACCTGCTTTGGCATTGTGTAATGGTACTTCCCTTCTCCATTATGTGTGTTCTGAAGTGTTGCTAGGGCACCGGGAGTGGATGCCTGTGGACGCAACCGTGGATTATGCGCTACATTGGTGGGAGGGGAGACTGACATAACTGGCGGGATTCAGTAAGGCGCATTTTTGCCCACGGACCCTGCAGCCGCAGCAGCCTGAGTGGCGCTTTGCATATGGACGTGTGGATTGTTTCTCTCTTGTGAGGCCTTTTTTACTGCGTGTCATTTCCGTTCGGGTACCGTGCCCGTGGCAGCAGCGGCGGCATCAAAAGGGCTGTGTGCGTGGAGAGTCCTTGATTGAGTGCCTGCCTTACTTCTCTGTTCTGTCGATCGAATGTACCGTGTGCCGGCCAAACGGTTGACATGACGTTCTTCTGACGGCGGGGTCCACGTGACATGATGTTGCGTCGCGTGCTTTGTTGCGGGTGTGTGATTTCAGCAACGGTTTTTGGGCGGTTGACTGTTGGGTCGTTGAGGGCGGCGTGGCGACGGGTGTGGATGGACCCGATTGTGTGCCGTGGCTGTTTGTGCGGGGGAGCCGTGGGAAGGAGGAGGCAGCGGAGCGATGGATTCCCGAGGAGTGTGGCAGCGTGCAGCCATGAAGATTGGCGACGGGGAACTCACTGCCGCTGTGAGTTGCCGTGTGTGGTGTTTGTTTCTGTTATTATTATTTGATTGTTGGATGTGGCCTATGTGAGGAAAGACTTTTTTTTCCTTTTTTTTCACGCCGTTTTGGGATTCTTTTCTGCGCCGTGATCTCTGTGTTCCTGCCGTACTGTTGCGCCCTCTTTCCCTTCCATATTGGGGGCAGCTGCGGGTGGGTTTTACATGCCGTGGAGTTGTGTGCCGTGCTGTCCGGTGTTTCATTGTTGCCTGTTCTTCCTGCGTGCACGCGTCCCCCATGCTCATGACAACAACCCTCATGCAAACGCTACTCCTCCTTTTCCATGCTGCTGATGCGTGTGTGTTCTTCTCATCCTCCTCTCTTTGTCCCTCCCTAGACTGTGTGTGCAGCCGTGATGACGATGACTGGCCGTGTGCTGCTGGTGTGTGCCCTCTGCGTGCTGTGGTGCGGTGCCTGCGGTGGTGGACGAGCTGAAACACCTTCTTCAGATACTCCGACCTCTTCGGGTAATGCGTCCGGTAAAGAGAAACCTCAAGAAGAAGAGGCCGTCGTTGGCGCTGGAGGAGGTGGCCAAAGCGGTGAGCATGCAGCGTCACAAGCAGCAGCACCAACGGGGTCAGGATTACCGGCAGCGCCAGCAGAAGCGGCACCACAATCCGGAGGAGTAGTATCAGTAACGGCAAGTACAACGACGTACAACAAGGTTAAAAAAGAAGAAGAAGAGGAAAAAGATGATGACGAAGAAAACGAAGATGAAGAACACGAAGAGGAAGAGGATGATAAGAAGGAAAAGAAGGAGACAAAGAAAGTGGAATCTGTCACCGCCACCACAGAGGGGACCTCAGCAGGCGGTCAAGAGCAGCCAAGTTCATCTTCTGGTGCGGAGGGAGCATCGAATATAACAAATCCCAACAGCACACAAACAACTGGAGACGATGATCCAGCAGCTGATGGTGCAGGGACACGAGAAGAAAAACAAAATGAAAATAAAGATGCCAATCCGAAAGAAACACCAGTGACGGCCGCAGCCATGAAAACTGCAACGGCGACGACTGGCGACAGTGACGGCAACACCGCGGCCTCCCACACCACCTCCCCTCTTTTGCTTCTTCTGGTTGCTTGTGCGGCTGCGGCTGCGGTGGTGGCCGCGTGAGAGTGAGGGAGAGAGAGCCGTGCACCGCCCGCACACACACTCGTCCTTCTCTCTCCGTGTGTGTGTCCCCTTGCATGGACTCTCGCCCTCACCTCACCCCACGAAGCACACACATAATGTGCCCATTATATATATGCATGCACACCCATGCAGGCCCGTTGGTGCTCTCTTTTGCACGACACGCACCGCTGCCGTCCTGCCTGGCTGCATGGGCGGAGCACCGTAACTGTTTCTGTTTTGTTTCCATTGCATTGAGTGTGCGACCTCTCTCTCTCCCCCTGTGTGTGTGTTTTGCTTTACGGGAGTAATGGGAGTGTGTGCGCTGGTCGTCCCACGCTTCGGCTTTTTGTTTTGTTTTCCTTTTTGATTTTGTGGTTGAGTGCACCCATTCCGCGGCTGCGTGTGTGTGTGTGTGTGTGATGATATGAGTAATTTGCGTGTGTGCTATCTGCCTCTCTCTGCCGTTGCTTTCTTTGGACGTTCTTTTACCGCGTAGGCGCTTTGCATGTATAGGCGCTGCCAAACACACAATTATACCCACGCCATTTTCCACAGGATTTTGACTGCGACGGTCTCTTTGTAGGAGGCATGACGGGAGCCTGCGATTTGTTTTTTTGGCCGTGCTGCGAGCGTGATTTTCTTGGCGTGCTCTCATGGATGGTTTGGCATTGACGTTGTCTGGGAGGAGTGCGGATTGATTTGCAGCCAACGGCTGCACGTGCCGATGTGTCTCTACCGATGTTCATACGCCGACGGAGGATTGTTTGGCTGTGTGGGGTGATGTGCGCCTGCGGCGGTTGAGGAGCGGGTGCTTTGGTGGAGACAGCAGTAAAAGGACTCGCGGTAGCGCGCGGGTGCTGCGAAGGACGGCGTGTCCTTTTGCACCCCGCTATTTGTTCTGCCGGATGTGTGCGTTGCTTGGTGTTGGCACACACGATGCAGAAGCACCTCTCGTGGCTTCTGCTTTTGATGGCAGTTGCTTTGCTTCCGGCGCAGTCTATTTTCTTTATACAGTGTGCCTGTGCGCGCGTGTTGTTGTTGTTGTTGGGAGTGCCTGCGGCGGGGATGATGATGCCGCTCACTGTGGATGGGTCGCGGTGCTTACCGTTTCACCCCTTTTATTCGGTATGTTTTTCTTCATTTTTTCGCTCTATTACTCATGAAGAAGGAAAACAAGCGCTAATCGCTACTGTGAAATTCGAAGGCACTGAAAGGACCAACAGCACACACCGCCCACACACACATATTTATATGCTCTCACGTGTTGCTGCAGTGAAGGCACCCCGCACACACAACCGTCGCCGCGTGACCGGATCCAGCGGAAGGAGGAGGGAAGGAGGAGAGAGTGAGCCGCAGAGGCCCAACTTGTCCCGGCGTGTGTTTACCTCCACGTTGCTGCTCCTCGTCGTGATGATGTGCTGCAGTACTGGAGTTGCGCGTGCAAAGAAGGTGGGTGATCCAAAGCCTATGGTTATTTTTGTATGGTGAGAAACGAAGGCGTCTTCTGGCGCATTTGGGAGGCAACGGCTCTGGAGAAAATGGTGTCAAATTCTTTATTGGCCGTTCTCTTGTTGAAATACTATGGCCTAATTGTGGGCATTGCCAATGCTAATTAGGGAGTCCCTTCTAGTGCCAGTGTTGGCATTTGGTCAAAGTACTTGAGTTTTACAGGGGAGGCGTGGACGAAAGGAATCGCAGCGGAGAGCGTGACGAACTGGAGGACGGACATTGCCGTGGAACGAAGAGAAGAGGCGGTTCACATGCCTCAATTGAACGGTCGCAAGGCGTTGACGAAAGAAGGCAAGATTTTTCTGCCCTTGGAGCGCCTTCCTGCGAAAAATGCCGGTGCGATGTTGGAAACTCCACACAGGTGGGAGCTTGTGCCTGTTTTGGGTGACGTTGTAGGTCTCCAACGATGGGGGAAGGCGCATCACGTGGGGTGCTGGGAGCCTTTCCAAGGCTGTTGTTGACGGTCAGCTGCGAGGGAAGTCATGGAATGGGTACTGTGGTATTAGCGGCAGGGGCGTGGTGGCGAATGGCACCGCGATTGTGTTTCCCCTCGTGGCTGTGAAGGGGGACAACACAAAAGTCTGCACCGTCTTCCATTCGAAGGGCTGTGGCAGGAATTGGGGGTTCCCTGCAGAGGGTTTTGCTGACGGGATTGCGCTGATCCCAATATCTTTGAGTGGGAGGGAAAACTCCTCATGGCCGCCACGCATGGAGGCCATGACGGGAAAGTGCATGATTCCGGTGAAATGGGGGAGAAACGGATGGGCAGGAGGAAGCGATCCACTCACAAGTCAGGGAAGTAAATGGTACGGCACTCAGCAGCAGCCTCGGAAATTTGTCGCGGGGGAATAACAGTGATGCGTGCACCATGCGTGGGAGCGGACTGCTGCTGCTGCTGCTTCTGTTGGGACTGTGGGGGTTTGCGGCTCTGTGAGGAGTGACCGGCTGCCGCGTGGGACACTTGCGACCTCCCGAGCACAGAATTACTTCCTCTGGAAAGAATATTTTTGATACTTCTACTTTTTTGTGTGCGTTTTAAATTTATTTTATTGTTTGCTACCTTTTTGTTTCAAAATTCTTTTTTATGTGTTTGTTTTTACTTTTTATTTTTCTTTTATCTCTCACTCCCATCCCTTTTTTGCTTTGGGGGCAGTCACGGTAGAATTTCTTTTTTCTTTTCTACACTTCCCTCTTTAATTGTTTCTTCTGCACTCTTCCTGTGAGGGGTGCCGTGTGTTTCCGCCCAACTGCTCCACTCGCACACCCACCGACACGCTCATGACGACGGCCCTGTGCGCCTCGCCTGCTGCACGCATGAGGAGGGGCCGCGACGAACGGCACGCTGAGGGAGCCGTGACGTGTGGGCGTGCGACGAGGGCGTGTGGGGCGGAGCACACATTTCTTCCCTCTTGTTTGTTTTCTTTGCGGCCAGGGCGGGCAGACACCCGCAGCGCCACACACACAGCCACACCCTGCCGCCGTGTTTTTAAGATTTTTTGCTTTTATGTTTTTATGGATGGTGTGTGCTGCCACCGTGCGTGATTGTTGAGGTTGGGGTCTTACCGCATGTATCGCTGTCATCCGGCTGTGCCTATTGCCGTGCTGATGTTCCTCCCTGTGCTCCTCCTCCTTTTTTCTGCTTTTCCAGCACACACACATAAGTATTTGCACAGTGCTCTGCAGTAATGTTTCGGCGTAGGTAGGGACGTTGGCATGCGTCCCGTGCTGAAATGATGACGCGGCTGCACGATGCCCGCCATGCGTGAAGGTGTTGCCTGCTCTTGGGGCATTCTTCTCTTGTTGTTTTTGCTCTGCCGGGTGCGGGCGTTGCTCGGTGTGTGCTGACGCGTGACGGACGGTGCCACGATGGCCTCCTCTGACGATGACAGTCGCTGTGCTCTCGGCACACATCCACACTCTTCCTTGTCTCTCTGTGGGAGTGAGTGCAGCAGGGCATTGCTGCGACCGTGATGGGGACCACGAAGGCATCACCCCTCGAGAAGGTGCCACGCTCCGCTGGTTGTGGAGCGGCGAGGCGGTTTGCCTGCAGCCCGACTGACAGAACCGCACAGTCGTTTTGATTGCGGTCATTTCCGTCGGCATCACCCGCTGCGGTGGTATCCGCAGGAGCCGCAGCCCCGATGAGGATGGCCTTGTAGTTGTCTGGCAGCTGAGAACTTCAGGCCCTTCGCCCCTCAGGATTGCCCCTGCAGCTTGACTGGCGCTGCACCATTCATCGCTTAGGCCCGCAGCGGTTATTTGCTACCTGAATTCAGACCATGAGCTGCGGGACGGTCGCTCACCATCCACGACGGCAGGAGATGACCTCGCCGTCGTCCCAAGCAACATGGAATCTCAGTTATCCGACGACCCGGCACAGACAACGTGGATCAGCGGCCGCAGCGTCTCGTTTCCCGACGTGACTGCGCAACGCGCACTGCGTGTCTCCCACTGGACGTCCACTAGTTTACATGGACTCGGACCACCATCTGCCATCCCACACTGCAGGGACGGAGGACGGCATCCCGTGACAGGCAGGCATGCTGCCACGACGGAAACATGACGCCATTGTCCTGCGTGAAGCTGACTGTGATGCTTCCATCTCGGCGTGTGCAACGTCTCTGGCCGCTGTAATCACATGGTTGGAGATGCACCGAGGCACCGTACGAGTGGCAGCCGTGACATTCCCATAGGAATCACGACGGACGGAGTGGAGCAGGCCGAGTGTGTTGCAGCGGCAGCCTGCCACGAGCTGAAGTGCACCGCAAACGGGAGGACCGCAATCATGCACTCCGCGGTGGCTTCTCCATGCTGCCAGAGGTCCGTGCGAAACAGCTTGGTGCCCTCTTGATCCCAGGCCTGTGATGCCTCGAGGCATGGCGGCGCCACGTCCCTGCCCTCTGGGATTGGCTGCGCTGCGGTGCTGTTGGGACCGCGTCTGTGCTCTGCCTCCGCCGCAGACTCTTCCCGACGCGAGCACCGCCACTCCTTGCCGAGCAGCAAGCGGCTGATGGACGTCCTCCTGCCCACTCCTCGGCAGATCGGCACGCGGCCTGCGGATCACAAGCAACCCTCTGTGTCGGTGGTGCCGTCCCTTCCTCACACTGAAGAGGCAGGACCGCCCCGACCTCCTCCGGAACCTCCACCTGGCGTGTCCACGGCACCTCCTCGTAGAACGACGAGCAGCAGATCAACGTCGTCCTGCCCAAGCTGCAGCAGCGTCTTCTCGTCCGTCCACAATATGAAGGCACACGCCCGACGCACTAACCCCGGCACTCCAATCGTTGCAGAAGGCCTCACATGTGGATTCTGCGACAGCTCCACGGTCTCCCCAACAAGTGCCTCACGCGCAGGTCACCACCAAAAATGTCAAGCGTATCAACGAGCAAAAGACGAACAACGCACCTCTGCAGGCTCCAATGACAGCCGTAGCCCTTCAGCCACTCCTCTGCTGCAACCACCACCAGCCGCTGAGCCGCGACAATCCACGG